TGTGGAGAACTGTCTCAAGTTCAGAGCGGGACAGAATGGGACTCAGCTTAGCAACGTTCCTGAGATGGAAGAAGGAAGAGCCAACAAGAGAACTGACATGAGAATCCAGGGTGAGAGCTGGGTCAAAGGTCACACCAAGATTCCTGACAGAAGGTTTGGGTTAACTGTTAGCATTAGCTACTCCACCACACAGCAGGACTCCTCCAGGCTTGTGTTATTTCTAGAGGTAAAGCATCAACGTTGCAGAGCAGAGTCAGCGGTAGAGTCGTGTTGCTGTTAGCCAATCAGAGACGAGACCTGCCAGCTCTCGCCAGAGCTACATCCCCTCAGAGATTAACTCATAAGACCTTAATTTTAGCCAGAGACCACTGCAAAGGTGTTGAAATAAGAAGTGAACTTGCTCTTTAATAAAAATATTAAAAATAATAAATGGTCGATTTTACATTTGACTGTTTTCAAGGATTAAAGAAGCCTAAATGATCAGAGTCTTACATTTGTCCTTGATCACCCTGCTTCCTCTTTTATTATTCATTATTATTCATTATTACTGTTGCATGTTTCCAGAGGAAGAAAGACGCGTCCCGTTGCATTTTTAACACTCCTGGGTGACTAATTCAGATCTTCTCAGGATTTTAGCTCCAAATCTCACAAGTCCTAAAATTCCTCACAAACGAGAAGCTACAGAAATTCACGGTTTAGTTAAAACACAGCTCCCTCCGAGCTGAGATTATAGCGCTACTGGTACTGGTCTGTCTATCGCTGCTGGCTTGTCCCAGTGCTGCACTGGTTTGTTAACCAGACGTGTGTCTGGATGTTTAGGAACTCATGTGATGGAGGGCTCAGGCAGGATGCTGGTGACCGCCGTCGGCGTCAACTCTCAGACGGGCATCATCTTCACTCTACTTGGTGCAGGAGAGATGGAGGAGGAGGGAAAAGAGAAGAAAGGTAGGGCTGAGATATTCACGGACATCTGGCGTTCAGCTGTAATGGGAAAAACCTTCATGTTTGCTAAATCTGTACAAAACTTCATTTAAAAACTTTCATGCAACCCAACATAACAGCTTTAAACGGGATACCGTGCACACAGCTCCCTGTGCCTGCCACACGTCCACGCAACACACAGCTGAACTTAAAATCATTCAAGTCTTTTTTATCTACTACGTAGTACGTAGTACATACGTACGTAGTACGATCACAACTCACTGTGCTGAGACTCAGAGACACAAAATTCCATGAACATTTAAAATGTTTTAAATGTGGAACGTGTAAATCACTCTAAAACACGTTTGCACAAGTCGAACCTGCAAACAAATATCATTATCAACATTATAGTTGTGAAAAGTTTTTTTTTACTTTAAAGAAATAAAGCATTAAAGGCACACTTGGCAGTTTTGGCTTGCTTTTAGCACCCCCTAGTGTCTGTTCAGTTGAACCAAAGTGAACCATATCTCCTTGCTTGCTTTTTGACCTAATCTAACAGCTGCAATGTCTCCCAGCCTTCCTTAATGTCTACAGGAGGGATTCATCTCTAAATGAAACACATCAGCTGATCTAAACATGCAGGAAACATACTGGAACCAGTCCAGCATGCGGACTAACTTCCTAAAACTGTCTCACACTTTTCTCACTTTCCGACTAAATAAAAACTAAACTGAGAAGGACTCGAAGTGCCTGAGAAAGCTCTGAGAGCAAAGCTGCGTGACTCACACAAGGATACAGACAGTCCTCACGAATGTTTCTCAGGAACGTTTCTCAGGAACATTTGCCACGAACGTTTCTCAGGAACGTTTCTCAGGAACGTTTCCCACGAACGTTTCTCAGGAACGTTTCTCAGGAACGTTTCCCACAAACGTTTCTCAGGAACGTTTCTCAGGAACGTTTCTCAGGAACGTTTCCCACGAACATTTCCCACGAACGTTTCTCAGGAACGTTTCTCAGGAATGTTTCTCAGGAACGTTTCCCACGAACGTTTCTCAGGAACGTTTCCCACGAACGTTTCTCAGGAACGTTTCCCACGAACGTTTCTCAGGAACGTTTCTCAGGAACGTTTCTCAGGAACGTTTCCCACAAACGTTTCTCAGGAACGTTTCTCAGGAACGTTTCTCAGGAACGTTTCCCACGAACATTTCCCACGAACGTTTCTCAGGAACGTTTCTCAGGAATGTTTCTCAGGAACGTTTCTCAGGAACATTTCTCAGGAACGTTTCCCACGAACGTTTCTCAGGAACGTTTCCCACGAACGTTTCTCAGGAACGTTTCCCACAAACGTTTCTCAGGAACGTTTCTCAGGAACGTTTCCCACGAACGTTTCTCAGGAACGTTTCCCACGAACGTTTCTCAGGAACGTTTCTCAGGAACGTTTCCCACGAACGTTTCTCAGGAACGTTTCTCAGGAACGTTTCTCAGGAACGTTTCCCACGAATGTTTCTCAGGAACGTTTCCCACAAACGTTTCCCACAAACGTTTCTCAGGAATGTTTCTCAGGAACGTTTCTCAGGAACGTTTCCCACAAACGTTTCTCAGGAACGTTTCTCAGGAATGTTTCTCAGGAACGTTTCCCACAAATGTTTCTCAGGAACGTTTCTCAGGAACGTTTCCCACGAACGTTTCACAGGAACGTTTCTCAGGAACGTTTCCCACGAACGTTTCTCAGGAACGTTTCTCAGGAATGTTTCTCAGGAACGTTTCTCAGGAACGTTTCTCAGGAACGTTTCTCAGGAATGTTTCTCAGGAACGTTTCTCAGGAAAGTTTCTCAGGAACGTTTCTCAGGAACGTTTCCCACAAACATTTCTCAGGAACGTTTCTCAGGAACGTTTCTCAGGAATGTTTCTCAGGAACGTTTCCCACGAACGTTTCTCAGGAACGTTTCTCAGGAACGTTTCTCAGGAACGTTTCTCAGGAATGTTTCTCAGGAACGTTTCTCAGGAAAGTTTCTCAGGAACGTTTCTCAGGAACGTTTCCCACGAATGTTTCTCAGGAATGTTTCTCAGGAACGTTTCTCAGGAACGTTTCTCAGGAACGTTTCTCAGGAATGTTTCCCACTAACGTTTCTCAGGAACGTTTCTCAGGAACGTTTCTCAGGAACGTTTCTCAGGAATGTTTCTCAGGAACATTTCTCAGGAACGTTTCCCACGAACGTTTCTCAGGAACATTTCTCAGGAACGTTTCCCACGAACGTTTCTCAGGAACGTTTCCCACTAACGTTTCTCAGGAACGTTTCTCAGGAACGTTTCCCACGAACGTTTCTCAGGAACGTTTCTCAGGAATGTTTCTCAGGAACGTTTCTCAGGAACGTTTCCCACTAACGTTTCTCAGGAACGTTTCTCAGGAACGTTTCCCACGAACGTTTCTCAGGAACGTTTCTCAGGAATGTTTCTCAGGAACGTTTCTCAGGAACGTTTCCCACTAACGTTTCTCAGGAACGTTTCTCAGGAACGTTTCTCAGGAATGTTTCTCAGGAACATTTCTCAGGAACGTTTCCCACGAACGTTTCTCAGGAACATTTCTCAGGAACGTTTCCCACGAACGTTTCTCAGGAACGTTTCTCAGGAATGTTTCTCAGGAACGTTTCCCACGAACGTTTCTCAGGAACGTTTCTCAGGAACGTTTCCCACGAACGTTTCTCAGGAACGTTTCTCAGGAATGTTTCTCAGGAACGTTTCTCAGGAACGTTTCTCAGGAACGTTTCTCAGGAACGTTTCCCACGAACGTTTCTCAGGAACGTTTCTCAGGAATGTTTCTCAGGAACGTTTCTCAGGAACGTTTCTCAGGAACGTTTCCCACGAACGTTTCTCAGGAACGTTTCTCAGGAACGTTTCGAGACATTTTGGAAACTCCCTCACTGTCAGTAGTTTGCTGCCAGTAGTCCCAGTCCAGTCACAAACTGGTTTAATGACTATAAATACCACTACTTGACCATGGAGTCTCTAACGACCACATCACTATAAGACTACCGCCAACAGACTAAATATGTTGAAACAATGGTAACAATGATAAAAGAGAGATCCACACGAAAACGTCCGTCTCCGCAGTCATAGATTTTATTTTTTCATAACTTATTCAGTAAATCTGCCGGTAATTATCTTTTATGTTACATCGTTGGCACACATGAACAAGGTTTTATTACAGTCAGGGTAATATTACTAATATTCAGATTGTGCAACTTTTAATTGCCCAGTGATTTTTCTTCAATGATATTCTCAGTGAGTTTGTATCTGCAGTTAATTATGAGTAATTAAAGTTTATTTAAGAAGAAAATTGTGCCTGAAATAAAAACCTAAAATAAGAATGGAAGCTGTTGACCCAGAGGGGTCAAAAAACAACAGACTTATCCACAGAACTAGACACCATGGGTCAAATGATGGCAAACAAAAAATAATACACCCATTAATTTGTAAAAGGACCCAAACTGATGGAGCACGACACAAAATCACAGAATCACGTCAATATTTGGAGTGTTTGTGTTATCAGTGTTAATTACAGGGCTGGGTGTCGTGGCCTCAACTCACGGTACGCTGAGCGGTTCCCCGGGATAACGATAAACGGATGAAGTTAAATAAATCAGGTTTAGCAGCAGTTAGAGGGAGCGTGGTGGTGGTAGGCGGGGCCTAGTCCCACAAAAATCCTTCACCACAGCTTCAGCATCTGAATCGTTCTCTGTTTCTCTTCTTGTTACAGAATGGAGGGGCTGAAGTCATGTGACTACACAAGTCATGTGACTCCGCCCCCTGTAGTTTATAGCACAGCATCTAAAAGGAAATGAATATCAGCGAGCTACACACATCTTTTTATTTTTGTCACTAACCTAAAACACAGACCAATATGTCATTAATAAACGTACATTTGGGTGATTTTTACACGTGTAACCTCGGTAACCAGTCCGGCTCTGCGCTGACAGACTTGTGAGGACCCCAGGTTGGAAACCACAGATTTAGAGAAATGCAGAGGAACCAATCAAACACAAATGAGACGTTAGAAAGAATTCAGGAACCGCAGAGAGAACAACAGCTGATTTTCCTTTACTCTAACGGGGTTATCTTAACTCCCCCATCCATCCCTCCACCCCTGTTTTCCACTTGTCTCATATCTGTATGACACCTCCCTGCACACACACACACACACACACCCACACACACCCACACACACACACACACACACACACACCCACACACACACACACACACACACACACACACACACACACACACACACACACACACACACCTCCTTGTTTACCCACCCTGCTGCCCTCTCTGCACTCCCCCGTTTCTCCTCCCTCTCCCTTCATCGGAGGGAAAAGCGCTGCAGATTCCATCAATTATTGAAGGAAGGGTGGGGGGATTCAGGGAAGACCGGTTGGTCAATGCATGAAGCATTAGGCTGTTCTCAGATCAGTTATGGAAGTGTGCTGCAGTCAGACAACAGAGAAGCACTTAAGGTTAACATCATTAGCAGCTTCCACTGCAGCGTTCCCGTCTGTGCAGGAATGCTTTTGGTATCGTTGGCGTCTCCAAAAAGGAGAAAGCATCCTGCTGGAATGCAGCAGCGAACGGCGACAGATTGACTGACGATGGATATTTTATGAAAGAAACGGTCTTATTGCTTCTCGTCCTCATTCAGAGTCTCTGAGAGCCGGATCGCTCAGGCAGTCGTGTGTCGGAACGCTTCAATTATTCATTAAACTCGTACAAATACCAGAAGATGCGGGATCCTCTCCTGGAATGTCTGCTCTGTCATCCTTTTCCTGCTACTCTGTCTTTCTGTGTAACTTGATGCCAAACCAGATTTCATTTTGAATTCTTCACTGTCGACTCAGCCAAAGACCTGCTGTTAGATTTGTGTATCACATGAAGTTTCTGCTGTTGTTTTTACCCCATTTTACCAAATTCCCACCCAAAACCTTCCTTTCTCACACAAACAGAGGACAGTACTCAGTTGGTCATCTCTTCAGATGCCAGCAACAGCACAGTCACCAATGGTATGTGAGCACAACGTTTTCTGCCCGTCCCTTTCCTCCGTCCGTTAGTGGACCCCCAGAGACGATAACCGGTGACGAACGTCAGTTTGTCCACCTTTCTTCTCTTCCCTTTTATCAGTGTCTGTGGTTTTCTGTTCCCTCTCGTGTGTGGCTGCCCTGACCTCACAAACCATCCGTCTTACGGCGGTCTGCTTCTGTGTAACCCACTCTTCCTCTTTCATTCTCCCAGGAAAACAAGCTGACGGAGCAGTGGAGAACAATCAGAATAAAGGTAAGCTGTGCACCCGCTGAGAGGAGGGCGCGTCTGTAACTGGTGCTGTCCAGGCCTCTGTGCTGTCGTCTAACTCCTCATGGAGAGATGTTTGAAACTCTATCTGTGCTGCTGACCAGCGCAGCCTCCATTTTAAAAATGGTCTTCTCTGTATTTTAGAGAAAATTTCACGTGTGCGTCCTAATTCTCCTTCCGAGTGTCAACACGACCGAGTCTGTGCGCGGGTTGGGACTTGGGTTTGGCTGGTGGTGTCTGTGGGGAGAAACACAGGAGAGGAGAAACCTGCTGAAGTGCTGCGTTCTAACAAAAGAATGTCAGGAAAAGCATCATTAATGTTTATTAAACGAGGTTCTTGTAGCTTCGGACATGACGGGGTTTGTGTGATGCGTCTATCAGCTGTTCTTCTGGTGGGCGTGACCAACCTGGATCTGTCAGATCCGCCGGGTCGGTCACGCCCACCTCCTGATAAAGACGTGCCTCGCAAACACCGTCATGTCCGAAGCCAAAAGAACCTCGTTTAGTGTTTAAAAAGAGGAAATAATGACCGTCGTAAAGCAGAAGTAATGTTTGCTTCTAGAGGGCGTTGGTACTATTTTGCATGTTTGCCTTCAGCCTCGCTGGTTTTCATTCTGCTCCTTCTGGTTCTGATAAAAGCCCATCTTCAGGTCTTCAACAACAACTGTGAGCAGGTGCTAAACCGTGCTAACCGGGCAAGCCTGTTGGTTGTACGTGCAGGAGAACATACGTAGTTAGCTTAGTGGTGCTGTTTGTTTAGAGAAACTGATTCTGAGTAGGGCTGCAACAACGAATCGATAAATTCGATGAAAATCGATTACTAAAAGCGTTGGCAACGAATTGCGTCATCGATTCGTTGTGTCGCACAACTCTTCCAAAAGCGCCCCCCCCCCCCCCTTCCCGCCCGCCGTTGCGCGCAGACCAGAGCAAGTCAGATCAGCGCGAGGGAGAGCCGGTGAGGTGTTGTGTCACTGCTGCGAACCGGTTCCGCATTGTTGCACAGCGATCCAGGCAGCTGCTTCCAGTGCACGGTCCATTCTCAAAGTGGCGCAACCAAAAAACTATAATTAGCACACGATCGTTCATGTCCGCACATGTTCTCTATTTTCTGTCTTATTTGTGCCTGAAGCGCGCTACTGCGGAGCTCATCACCTGTGCTGTGGTGATGTCACCTCACGCAGCATTGAAAACATGCTCTGAGCTTTTCGGTCAGGAGATCTTTGACCTGCTCAAAAGTAACTGATGAGGTGAAAAGGTAAGAATCCAGGCAACAGATTTTCTGGAGAATTAAGAGGAGATGCAGGAAGATGAGAGACAGACAGGACAGGAAAATAGTTCAATAAAAACAAGAAAACAAAACAAAGTGTTGAAAAGTAAAATGTAGGTAGATTTATCTCCACTACACGTTTTTACCAGTAAAAAACAATAAGTTATACACATGTCATATTTATACATCTGATACAATTCAGATCACCTTCAAAACTCAGTCACACACCCAGGGCCGTTTCAAGACATTTTGGGGGCCAAGGCAAAATGCCCCCCCCCCCCCCAATAACTGGGCCCCCCAGAAGCCTCTGTGTAATTCATGCCCTCTCCAGTAGTGTTAATTATATGGTGTTTATAAAAGCCCCTCAGACATTACTGACATGTTCTAATATTATCAGATGAAAAACTAAATTATCAGACATGCTGTCTCATCTGCTTCTTTTATAAACTTGCAAAAAGTAACAAAACCATCTGAAAGCCACTATTTGTGGATTCTCTGAAAGTTTCCATGGAGTGTGTGACAACTTATTTTTTCATTGATCCTATCGTCTAATCTCACAGCTGAAACAAGCATCCTTAATAATCTGTGCACAGGAAGCTTACCGATGCTGTAGTAAAACAAAAGGTATAATAATTTATTATTAATAAAACCTTGTTGCAGCACTAAAGCAGAAAAATGAGATTTTGCATTAAATATGCTAAATATTTACATATGAATTGTTTTAGAGCCCTTTTATTGGCAGAATCTGATATTAATTTAGTTCTTACAAAAAATGGGTCCCAACATGGTTTGTGTGGCGTTGCCATAGTGTGACGTCATAGGCACAGATCCCCTGTCCTCTTGTTTGGAAATGGAAATATGATCACCCTACATTAAACAAACTGTCCACCCGGGCTTTTGCGCTGCACAGAGACGCTTCGCTGCCTACGACTGAACGTCAGTTGAGAGTCAGTCTCATGCAAACTGACCAATGAAGAGAGGGCCTCAAGTTAAGACCCTCTCCTCATTGGTCAGTCCACACGAGGTGGGTCAAAGGTTACTCTGGGCGGGTTACGTGTTGTCAGGCATTCAAGTATTGAGTATATTTACTGCATATTACAGTAAAATATTCTGTATGTGACCACATTATGGTGATCCTTGGGTCGTGATGATGGAGCCCTTGAATATTGTTGCCCAGGGTACAACAAAGTGTTAATCTGGCCCTGGTTCCGCCGTCACATTCCCGCAGAAACTGGTTGATCACACCGGGGCCAGACTACTAGCATGTGGTTTTACAACCACAATGTCCTCAGAAGCAAAAACGCTTTTAAAAGGGAGGGAGGAGTCCTAACTGTTGCTGCAGGCGTGTTGTGTGAGAGTGCAGTTATATACTGGTTAATATATTTTTGGGTTCAGTTGCTTTCATGTGGCCTAATGTGAGTCTATTTGGGATCATTGGAATGATCAGCAGCATTTCTTGATGTGACTTTATGGCAGTTGCCCAGGGCATCATCACAAGGAGGATGGCATTCATTTACTTTTGTTTTATTTGGTATTTTTTCAGTCATTTTTGGAAATAGTGATCAATTTTGATTAATTCACAGCCTATGTTTAATTACATTTAAAATAAATGTCAACAGATGAGATCAAACAAAACAGATGAGAATTGCCCTTAAGCTGTTTAACTTGGACCAAGCATTTTAGGTCACAGATAGATGTAGCTTAGGGTCTCTGTCTATACACCTTATAAGACAATTTAGGTGATGGCATGTTGTTTTTCTGCTATTGAACTGTTTTCTAATAATGTTGTGTTAAATAAATTGAAGGAAGGAGAGAAATAACGTTTCCCTAGCAGTTTTTAAAAATTTCCCCATGTAATCCGATTAATCGATTAATCGTGTCGAGACCCCATCCGATTAATCGATTATCCAAATAATCGTTTGTTGCAGCCCTAATTCTGAGACAGAGCAAACGATGAAAAAAACAAATGAACACAAGGCCAGTACGTTTAGCCGGTCTGAGCCTGAGTCAGGGGTGCGTTTTGGAAAAATGACTTTCAGGAATCTACTTTTAAGATAATAAACTCTCCATCAGCTAGAAGTCATAAACACAATGATATGATTTTTTAGGAGGGATCCACTATTCTCCACTGTACACTTTTAGATGGAGGCATGTTGGAGTCAGGGCAAGGGAGAGCCGTCTTTACCGACTGTACACTCCACCTCCCTCTTCTCCCCCACTTGTCCAGATTTAGGCTAACATCAGATTTTAACCATAGGCCCTATCAAATAAAAATGTTTTAAGCCTATTCTTAAATGTAGACAAGGTGTCTGCCTCACGGACTAAAGCTGGGAGCTGGTTCCACAGGAGAGGAGCCTGATAACTAAAAGATCTGCCTCCCATCCTAATTTTAGATATTCTGGGAACCACCAGTAGACCTGCAGTCTGAGAGCGAAGTGCTCGGTTAGGAACATATGGAACAATCAGATCACTGATGTATGATGGAGCTTGATTATTAAGAGCTTTATATGTGAGAAGGAGGATACCCAGTGGCTTCAGTGGTTCTGCTCCTCATTCCAGTCAACAAACTGGAATGAGGAGTGGCCAAAGGAGGTGCAAGCTTTGAGAATAACCGTAGAGATGAAGTTACTGGAACGTAAACGGTGCTGGTTGTTGGGAGTAATGAGTAATGAGAGAAGATGTGACAGTTCTACCGATGATGCTTTTGTATATGAACTGCTACCGATGTAACATCCTGCAGGAATGGAGGGATGACCAGTCAACGAGTGAGTACAGATCACCATGATGAGTAGTGAAACGGGCACCAGTGACCAAACGGGTTGCTGAGTGATGAATGACTTTAAGTTCACGAAGAAGGTTTTAGGAAGCGGTCCTATAAATGATGTCACCGTGATCTAAGATGGAAGGACGTACACTGAGAAAAGATGCCTTCACTTTGAAAGACTGTTCAGGTTAGATTTGTGTTATAAAAACCTTTTGTGTTAAAAACTTCAGTTATTTTAGTCAGCGATAGATTTTCTTTTAGTCAAATGACTTAAATATTCTGTCACGTTTGGGAAAAATCCGTTTAGACCTGGGATGAACTTCCCAAGCGTAAAAGAAGGGAAGTGAACATGTTTTTAATTTGCTTTGATGTGTGTTTCTTCAGCCAAGAAGCAGGATGGGGGTGTTGCCATGGAGATGCAACCCCTGAAGAGTGCAGAGGGAGGAGAGGTGGAGGACCGAGAGAAGAAGAAGACCAGCGTTCCAAAGAAAGAGAAAAGCGTGTTGCAGGGCAAGCTCACCAAACTGGCCGTTCAGATAGGCAAAGCAGGTACGCTGCCGTCGTTGACGTCGTTACCTGTAGAGGGCGCTCTGAGGTTTGGAGAGTCGTGGAGGAGTCTTGGTAACGCCACACCACCTCACAGAAGTTTATCTTTCAACCCAAACAGTTCTTTTCTTTTCTTCACAGGTTTGGTGATGTCGGCCATCACCGTCATCATTCTTGTGCTGTACTTCGTCATCAACACGTTTGTTGTTAAAGGTCTGGTTCTCACTGCAGAGAAAGTAAAAGCCGGCGCCGCGGGGTTGTCAGACTAATGAGCCGTCCCGTGTGTTGTAGGACACGTGTGGCTGCCCGAGTGCACTCCCATTTACATCCAGTACTTCGTCAAGTTCTTCATCATTGGAGTCACGGTGCTGGTGGTGGCGGTCCCGGAGGGCTTACCGCTCGCCGTCACCATCTCTCTGGCTTATTCCGTCAAGGTGAGCTTGGCCGCTCGTTGGTCACTCAGAGCTCAAACGTTATGCATTCATAAGGCTGTAAAATAATGAAGGTTACAGGAGCTGCTGTTTACAATAGTTTGTCTTATTTTGCTGATGTAGTTTAATAATCTTGGTTTTTCTTACATTTGTTGACAAAATACTAAATAATGTGTTTAAATCAAAGAGTTTTTAAAGGAAATGATGACGCGTTCATCTGTAAAGCGTATTTCTGCTGTTTCTGAGCTTGTTAGGGTTGTGATCTGTCTTTTACTGTCGTCGTTTAGCCTCATTAGTTATGTTTATGTTAGCATGTCAACATCAGGTATTATTAACTGATGAAGTAATAACATTAGGATGTAATATGTAGATGTTTCTAGTTTAGTCAGTCGGTGCACGCTTTAACGAACTGGAGACACTTAAACAAGTTTGAGGGTTTGACTCTTTATGAGTCCTACATTGATCGAACTTTGACCCCCCCGTTCATCACATTTGACCTTCTGTTGTCCTTCACAAACGCCTCTGCTCTTCCTCCGTGTCGCCCTCAGAAAATGATGAAGGACAACAACCTGGTTCGACATCTGGATGCGTGTGAGACGATGGGCAACGCCACGGCCATCTGCTCCGACAAGACCGGCACCCTCACCACCAACCGCATGACGGTGGTGCAGGCGTACATAGGTACCGACAGCACTGACGCGGCGCTTCTCGTCATGTTTTATACTCATTTAAACCGAGCCTCTTGATCAGATGAGATTTTCTAACCTTCGGACTTTAGATGCAGTCAGTAGTGAGTTTGTTGAACGTGTTTCTGCAGGTGAAGTGCACCACCGTGTGATCCCCGACCCCGGACAGCTCAACACTCGGACTTTGGACCTGCTAGTCAACGCCATCTCCATCAACAGCGCCTACACCTCCAAGATCTTAGTGAGTCGTTCGGTCGGCGTTGACCTTGTTTTTCTGAAAACGACTTGTGAGTTTTTTTATCAACTCCTCACCCGTCTACTTCATCCTCCTCTCTTTTCCTCTCCGTGCGTTTTGCACCAAACGTTTGTCTCCACCAGCCGCCGGATGTGGAGGGGGGTCTCGCCAAGCAGGTGGGCAACAAAACCGAGTGCGGCCTGCTGGGATTCGTTTTAGACCTTCAGCGAGACTATGCCCCTGTGAGAGAGCAGATCCCAGAGGAGAAGCTGTACAAGGTCAGAACTCAGGCGTCTCATCCACCTGCAGCCTAACGTCTCATGGCCAGCAATAATGGACATAAGTTAATAAACGGGACTTAAACTAATTAGAATAAATCAGATTTCCGCACTTGTTCAGGGATTTCTGCTTGTCTTTCCTCCGTCTCAGGTGTATACATTCAACTCAGTGCGCAAGTCTATGAGTACGGTCATCAAACTTCCTGATGGTTCCTTCCGTCTCTACAGCAAAGGAGCCTCTGAGATCATGCTGAAGAAGTGAGTGATGATGGAGGTCGATGGAGGTGGAGATGCTGCTGGGGGATTTGGGTCATGGTCCAAACGTAACTCAGCAGGTTTAAACTATCGTCTGGTAACAAAACAACTAGGAAATAACCAGTCTTACTTTATTATGTAACCATACACCAACCTAAAGAGTAATAAAGAAATAAATGGGGCAGTTAATAATGCTCTGTCCAAGAAGGTGATGCTGTAAAACCATTAGTGGGCCTAGAGCAGAGCCTTGGGGTACCCCACCTTGCAGATGAAGTTTAGACTTAACTTTGGATAACTGAATCTTTAGAGTCCAGACCAGAGCAAACGATGATGTCCTTTTTTATTTTTATCTCAGGTGTTCCTACCTTCTAGATGCCAATGGAGAACCTCGCAGCTTCCGTCCACGAGACAGAGACGAGATGGTCAAACAGGTGGGACCTTTCTCCACTGCCTGCGGGATTTCATGCTGGCTATGGAAGAGTGACCTCCCGGTGACCCACACCAGCGTAATCGTCACCGGATTCGAGTCGGGTGGCTTTTAACCAATCAAATGATGCTTCTGTGATCACGACACCAGTGAGGCGTCGACTCAGTCCAGTGGCGATTGCTTTGGCTTGGGTCACCAGGAAGTCACTAGTTGTTGCTGAATTTCTGCAGGTGAATTTTTACAGATGAAATTTAAGTGAAAGAAAAATCAAAACCTAATTTCTCAGAATAAAACTTCCACATCTAAAAAGATTCATGTTGTGGCGAGGCTTAGGGCTGACGGGGTTAGGGTTAGGGAAGGGTTGATGGACCAGAGGAGGCTGCCTGCAGGGCTCAGCTGGGGGCTCGGTATACGCTGCAGACTGACACGGTGGTAATGTGAACCGCATAATCCGAAGGATACGATGAGAGTAGTGAGAGGGAAGTAGTAAACAATCAGCGTGAGGGCCGGAAAACTCAACCCCGGTCTGAAATTAGACACGAGACATCCCAAACTGGGTCTTTGTGAAGGACTAAAAGTTACCTCATTCTTTTAGGTGGGAAAAAATAATCAGCTGGTAGGTAAATATTCTTTATGCATAGACAGAAAAACAGCAGGAGTGACCCGGGATCAAACCGGCAACCCTCGGATTGCTGCATGGCCTTCTCTTCTCTCCGAGCCGCCCTTTGTTGTGGTTTTAGTTTTGTTGTGAATTACCCAAAAGTCCCAACAAACACAGGAGTAGACGTCGTGTTTGAGTCGGTTTCACTTTCCTCTTGTCTGAATATTGTTTTATGAGGAGTGCGCATAGACAAACAAATAAACAAACAAACAAACAAACAAACAATAAATAAATAAAAAGTCTGCTGGCTTCTCTCATCACCAAGTCTTGCATCCTGAAATTGTGGAGATAAACGTTCCTACTCAGCCAGCTGGGCGAGGCGAGGCGAGGGCGAGGCGAGGCTGAGGGCGAGGCGAGGTGAGGTGAGGGCGAGGCGAGGTGAGGGTGAGGTGAGGCAAAGCGAGGGCGAGGGTGAGGCGAGGTGAGGGTGAGGCGAGGGCGAGGTGAGGCAACGTGAGGGTGAGACGAGGGCGAGGGCAAGTCGAGGTGAGGGCAAGTCGAGGCGAGGGCGAGGCGAGGTGAGGGCGAGGGCGAGGTGAGGCAAAGCGAGGGTGAGGCGAGGCGAGGATGAGGCGAGGCGAGGTGAGGGCGAGGCAAAGCGAGGGCGAAGCGAGGGTGAGGCGAGGCGAGGGTGAGGCGAGGTGAGGTGAGGGCGAGGCGAGGCAAGATGAGGTGAGGGCGAGGTGAGGGCGAGGGCGAGGGCGAGATGAGGGCGAGGCGGGGCGAGGTGAGGGCGAGGCCTCTCTTTAGCATGAAAGCAGGATATTTTCTGAAAGCTGCTTTGCTGACTTTCCTCAGATGTCCACCAACAAACGTCCACAATAACGCGTCCACATCCCGTCTAACGACCAGAAGCGCCCTGGAACCAGACGTCTGCAGAAACGTGGCGTCAGACTCACGCTTTGCTCTGAACCTGTTAGATACAAGCCAGCTTTTGCTGCATCGGCGGCGTTGCGGCGGAGCAGAAGCTCCTGCTGTGTGTGTTGTGGGAGCGTGCAGCCTGAGCCGTGTGAGGCAGACTGACAGGCTGACGGATCTAAATTTGGCTCACGATGAACGCAGCTTGTGCCGTGAGAAAAATAACTGCTCCTTCCACAACTCGGTTCCAGCTCAGTAGTTCGGTTTGCGTTGTGGCAGCTTTGTGTCATCTCCTCTTTGTATCACATGGTGCCGTCTGCAGCGAGCCGGGGGTCTTTCCCTGCAGCTGCGTCACAAGGAATCCATCAGAACTGCACCTCAAACATTATTTCAGCTTTAGAAATGCGGACGTGAGCGTCGTTCTAGCACAGCGAGCCGAGCGGAGGGACGTTTGCTTCTGGATCTTCCCCTGATTGTGTTTCTGATGATGACTGATGACCAGGTGATTGAGCCAATGGCGTGTGAGGGTCTGAGGACCATCTGCATCGCTTACCGGGATCTGTCACCGAATCCAGAACCTGAATGGGACAACGAGGCAGAAATAGTGACGGAGTTGACCTGCATCACCGTGGTTGGAATAGAAGACCCCGTCCGACCCGAGGTGTGTTACCGCAGCAGCTTCAGAGTTCACCGTGTCGTTTAACTCGTTTTCTAATCAGACTTGATGCCGTGTTTCTGTGTGAACAAATTCCTTTGACCTTTCCAAGGTGCCTGAGGCCATCCGGAAGTGTCAGCGTGCAGGCATCACCGTGCGGATGGTAACTGGTGACAACATAAACACAGCCCGGGCCATAGCTGCCAAATGTGGCATCATCCACCCTGGAGATGACTTCATCTGTCTGGAGGGCAAAGAGTTCAACCGACGAATCAGGAACGAGAAAGGGGAGGTAGGTTTTAGTGACGGGAATTCCGGCTCTTTTTAGAGAGCCGGTTCTTTTAGCTCAGTTCACCAAAAAGAGTCGGCTCTTTTGGCTCAGTTCACCAAAAAGAGTCGGCTCTTTTAGCTCAGTTCACCAAAAAGAGTCGGCTCTTTTGGCTCAGTTCACCAAAAAGAGTCGGCTCTTTTGGCTCAGTTCACCAAAAAGAGTCGGCTCTTTTAGCTCAGTTCACCAAAAAGAGTCGGCTCTTTTGGCTCAGTTCACCAAAAAGAGTCGGCTCTTTTGGCTCAGTTCACCAAAAAGAGTCGGTTCTTTTGGCTCCCAAGTGGCTCCTCAGATTTTCTGTTGCGTAGAGTACATTTATAACAAGAATAATGCTAACCTACATGTAAAATGACTTACTAATATAAATAAATGCAATATTTATCATTTCTATGGATTTAATAACTGAACACTTTAAGAAATCTCCACTTTCCGACTGCTGGTGCTTGTTTTCTCACCGTCTTCGTCGCACTCTCCTCTCTCTCGCTCGCCCCTTTCCTCCTCCTCATTCCCTCACCCGCATGTGCTCTGCTGTGTCTGAGTCTGATCCTCCCTCCTCCCCGCCCCTGCTGCTCTGTGTGTGGACAGTCTGGACACGCAGTTACACATGCTGACCAATCGCCTGTAGCTTTCACCAAAGCAAGAGGGGAGGGGGGAGGGGAGCTTGCTTCTCACAAGCGTGTGAATTTAAACGCTGTGTGTTCAACAGAAGAGCTCAGAACCAAGTTTAGGTTTGTGCGTCCAACGATTAACGATGAAAGTTATCGTAGGTATCATACGTCAGCTTTCTGTCAGGACTAGCTGAGCCCACGAGCAATGACTAGCTAACCTGCTAACAGCTAATGGCTGATTTCTACAATCACAAACAGCTCTTGCTGTAGAAAGTCCCACCGACGCGTCAGAATGCTGTAATCCACCTTAAGCTGGTTGTTCCAACCGAACAACGTCTGAGTCACGGCGCTGCTGCTTCACTCACCTGTCCACCAAACGGGTCACGAGGGAACGTTGTGTAGCAACCAGCAGAAACTAACGCCGAGTGTGGAGGTCTGCTCCGTTTGGCATCTTCATCGATGTGTGATGGAGGAGGAGTTTGTCTCCTAAAGTAAATTCATCCATGAAAATAGAAACCCGACATCTGAGAGCAACCTGAAGCTGGAGGACGAGCACCACCCAACCTAGAGGCTGGTTCCAGTGCATGTTTTAAGCCCCGCCCCCTCCATGTTTTAGCGTTGTTTCAAAGGAAGAATATACCTGAGATAATTGTTTTTCTAGTGCGGACTCACCTGTTCATGACCAGAGCAGAGGGCCCCAGGGCCTGAAGCCCGGGGCCTGAAGCCCGGGGCCTGAAGCCCGGGGCCTGAAGCCCGGGGCCTGTAGCCCGGGACCTGAAGCCCGGGGCCTGAAGCCCGGGGCCTGAAGCCCGGGGCCTGAAGCCCGGGGCCTGTAGCCCGGGGCCTGTAGCCCGGGGCCTGAAGCCCGGGGCCTGAAGCCCGGGGCCTGAAGCCCGGGGCCTGTAGCCCAGGGCCTGAAGCCCGGGGCCTGAAGCCCGGGGCCTGTAGCCTGGGGCCTGTAGCCCGGGGCCTGTAGCCCGGGGCCTGTAGCCCGGGGCCTGAAGCCCGGGGCCTGTAGCCCGGGGCCTGTAGCCCGGGGCCTGTAGCCCGGGGCCTGAAGCCCGGGGCCTGTAGCCCGGGGCCTGTAGCCCGGGGCCTGTAGCCCGGGGCCTGAAGCCCGGGGCCTGAAGCCCGGGGCCTGTAGCCCAGGGCCTGAAGCCCGGGGCCTGAAGCCCGGGGCCTGTAGCCCGGGGCCTGTAGCCCGGGGCCTGAAGCCCGGGGCCTGTAGCCCGGGGCCTGTAGCCCGGGGCCTGTAGCCCGGGGCCTGTAGCCCGGGGCCTGTAGCCCGGGGCCTGTAGCCCGGGGCCTGAAGCCCGGGGCCTGTAGCCCGGGGGCCTCTGCTCTGAGTGTGATTATCCGTTCTTTAGCTGTTTCTGTAGGAACAATTTCCCTTGTGTCAGAGCAAACGTGTGTTTTTAGCTGCGTGTTTTTGTCTCACCTCCACTAGCCTTGAAACCAGCGGCTCACTTGACCGTTTTATGGGATGTTGTCTTAAACCTCGGTGTAAAAGTCTGCAGCTGTGGTGAAGCAGGACCACTGACGGTAACGTAGGGAGGCGGCGGTCGAAGCTCCATCCTGGCGTGTTTTAATCTTATATAACAGAAAATAAAGACAACATGCAGCGCTTCAATCTGACGCATTCAGCTGGATCTTCTGATTTTAGCAGAAGGCCTGATGCTGGTTAGTGCTGCACCTTTGCGTTTCACACGCGTGTGAATTTAAACGCTGCGTGTCGACTGCGTGTGGTGTGGAGCTCAGGGTTAGCGGTGGCATCTGGTGAGAGACGCTGAGGAGGATCTCCTTCATCACACCACCTGTCCTCTCCTCCTCCCACAGATCGAACAGGAACGCATCGACAAAATCTGGCCCAAGCTGCGCGTGCTGGCTCGGTCCTCACCAACGGACAAGCACACACTGGTCAAAGGTGAGGCAGGCTCACTCACACACACACACACACACACGCACGCACACACACACGCTGAGCCTCTTCCCTCTCATGTGTTCCCAGGCATCATTGACAGCAGCGTCGTAGAACAGAGGCAGGTTGTCGCGGTAACGGGAGACGGGACTAATGACGGGCCAGCTTTGAAGAAGGCTGATGTTGGCTTCGCCATGGTAACCTGAGATGTTTTTCACCTTTAATGTTCATGTGGTGCTGAAGCGCTCCTCAGGCTGCTTCTGTGCTTCCTTCTGGAGCTGCTCTGTGTTTTCTGCCTCTGTGATCAAAAACACTGGAAACGTTTTTATTTCCATCCTGATGAAAGTGAAACAGGATGCGAGGGTTAGGGTTTTAATCCCAAATGAAGACCAGTAACAACCAACTCCTTTAGCTCCTTTATGTCAAAGTTTTCTAAAGACACACATCAGTGTTCAGGTCAGGTAAACCAGGGTGTTCACGGCTGTGTTTAGTCACGGCGGGCCAGAGGAGGTTTGCTACGTAGATTTCACGTTAGAACCGTGTTTGAATGGCGCTCTCGGAGCGCCGGAGCTCAGAGGCAGAACGACCCGATATTGAGCCAGCCACACTCCCAAGTGATGTGGATGCTCGCTGGCATGAGTCACGTCATGAGTCGTCTCCCCCTCACTCTGCCTCCGTCGCTGCCAGGGCATCGCAGGGACAGACGTGGCCAAAGAGGCGTCCGACATCATCCTGACTGATGACAACTTCAGCAGCATTGTCAAGGCGGTGATGTGGGGACGAAACGTCTACGATAGCATCTCCAAGTTCCTGCAGTTCCAGCTCACCGTCAACGTAGTGGCTGTCATCGTGGCCTTCACCGGAGCCTGCATCACTCAGGTGGACGGACGCACACGCATGCTGACACGTGCATTCCTGCACACACACACACACACACACACACACACACACACACACACACACACACACAAGTGCCACATCTGCACGCATCACTCCCGGTTGATCTGCAGAGACAATCTAAACGCTGAAGTGCTTTTATTGCACTTCCAAAAGCAGCTGACTGCAGCAGCCTGACACTGGATTCTGCATCAGTTATTACGGTTGTTCCTAATCCAGCAGATTAAAGGACACGAACACCTACAGACATGATCTTTATGGAGGTGCAGACATAAATGAACAAATGTTAAACAGTTGAAATCATGTAAAGGCTTTGATGACTGAAATAACAACCGGGTGTGTGTTGCTGATGGGATGCTTCACACCACTAGTCTTGGTCCACGCTGAAGGCCGCTGGGAGCTGAAGAACTTGAGTTGTTTGTTTTTCTCCTACATTTGCTCCCACGGGCTGAGCAGATGTGATCCTCTCTGACACGTCGTTTGACCCGAACTAGGATTCTGCAGAACAACCAGAAGCACACCAAGTCAGGATCTCCTGCTGATCTGTGGCTCGTGTCTCTGCAGGACTCTCCTCTGAAGGCGGTGCAGATGCTTTGGGTCAACCTGATCATGGACACGTTTGCGTCTCTGGCCCTGGCCACCGAGCCCCCCACCGAAGCGCTGCTGTTACGAAAGCCCTACGGTCGGAACAACCCGCTCATCTCGCTGACTATGATGAAGAACATCCTGGGTCATGGAGTCTACCAGCTGGTCATCATCTTCACTCTGCTGTTCATAGGTGCTCAGACTCTCCAGTTGCTCTTGTCTCATCTGGACTGAAGGTCTGAACTCGTCTCACGCTAAAACTGGAGTAGCTGCTCGATGTCCCCCAACGGGGGGGGGGGGGGGGGCTGTAACTATTATCAGAATTTAAAATAAAAAT